CAGCTGGTGGATTTGAACTGTATGTCTTTGGGATTGCAGGGTAGCTTCTTACCAGGAAGCCACCAGAACTCTCTCTATAGATTTTAGTGCAGGGGGGAAAAAAAAACCAAACAAAACACAAAAACCAACACCTCAAACTATATACTCCTTCAGTATCATTATGATTTGAAATTTGGATTTCTATATTTTATTTCTAGTACAACTAAGTACATGCTATTCATTCAATTCAAATGACAAACTTCACTGTAAACAAGGTTCATTAATGCTTGCTGCCTATGTAGGGAGGTTATATTTTAGTGAATTCATGTAAAATATTAATCTTATTACAAAGAAGTCACATTTCTCTCTGTAATTTTAAAGCCCAAAACATATTTTTAAAAAACATCTAGAATACTCAAATACCAGTTTTCCCATTTGAAGGCACCTAAGACTTCATTCTTATTTACGGTGAATGCTCCTTTCAGTCATTTTCACTTGGATTTTGACATTTAATTTCTAAGTCTTCTGCCTACAAGTTACACTTTCAGCTTTTTCCTTTTCTTTCCAAAAATTTTCTTTAACTTTTAAAATCCTGAGTACTACAAGTGACGATATTTTTGTTTAGATGACTTGTCTCCTAGATATATAGATTGTACTTCTGCCAAAAGATTTCTTAATCTTCAACACATCTAAAACTTCCCTGTGGCATTACAATTCAATTCATGGGTCATGTCATTGTCATGTTGTATACTGTTGGTCGACCCATAGCTGACTCTCTGGCAAGTTTTCAGAGCACTTATCACATGGGAGAAGACTTCCCATCTTCCTGTGGAGAGCATCTGGAGTCCTTGAACCGCATGCCTTCAGATTGCATCAGAGTACAGCTTCTTGCCACTAGGCCACCATAGCTCCCTATTTTCACTATACCTTTATGTGTACAGCAAGCTATTTCTAAGACAGTGAAATAGAATATAATTATTGTATTTGTAACTGTTACAATCAATTCCTTTTAGGATTCTCTTTTGAGACTGAGAGATTTTGGGAAATGGTAAGACATTCAACACCAGCAAAGTGCGATGTGGCCTTTCTGCATAAGATGCCATCACATATACAGAACTGATTACCCAGTGTGCCTGAGTTCTCGTAATGTTCTCTGGTACAGGCCAAAACAGGCATCAGGCAAACTCGTAACGTAAAATGAGAGGCACATCGTAAGCAACCCTGCTTGCAAATAGCTCACTTTTTCCTGCTCAAAATAAAAAAGATTCCTGTTACTTGAACAACACTTAGATACGTAGTTAGAAAATGCTTGATTGTCATAGATACCTCATCATAAAGGGAATTTTTTTCAGCCAGTAGTGAACACAACAATGACAGAAGAGGTGTATATGGATTAGGTTAATGTTCACTTTGTCTACTGCGTGTATGTTCCTAGATGTACATATTTAATTACAGGATTGTCCGAATAAGCAAAGCACTCCTTAAGAATAGAAGAACGGTAGGAGGTATCTCACTTCCTGATTTCAAATCCTACTACACTGCCGTAGTAGTAAAGACAGCATGGTACT